ACTGGAAATTTTAAAAAAACCCAAACCAAAACCCATTATTTAATCCATTATTTCCATGTTCTACTTTAAATTAGAAACAGCAAAACAGGAAGATATCCTGGTTTGAGCACCTTGTTCCTCCTTGGTTGCATATTCTGCTATAAAGACAGCAGTCATCTGAATGAATAATTTCTCTGTTAATTCTGCCTGAGATATAGATTTGGAATGAGCAAAGAACCAAAAAATGGTGAAATTCCAGTTAAATTTGTTGCCACTGAACTGGTGGCAGCACTCTTGTCCCTCAGGGGCAGAAGCACCAACTGCAACTGGCTCTGAAAATCTGCATTTATCAACCAAAATACTTTCCAATTTAAAACCTGATCTGTTCCAACACACAGCATGGCTTTACAGCCCCATCCCCAATTCCACATCTCCAGTGAGGAACTGGGTGACTTTCACTTATTGAGTTCTTTGCCAGCTATTTTTTCCTCCTCGTTTTAAATCAAAAGTTGCATTTAACAGAGGGCAGTCAGCAGACACATCCATGTGATGGCACTGAAGGCCTTGCACCTGAATATCTGCAATATTTCCTTGCATTTCCTTCCTTCTGTGCACTGCTGTGCAGCACATCCACTGCTTCCTGCACGTCCCACGTGCCTGGAACGTTCTACCTGAGCAAACCCTGGGATCTGGCAGAGGCAGATTCCTCCCCAGGTTGTGTTGGGAGCATTTCTTCCCTTACCTCCATCAAGGCATAGCCAATACCATTCATCTCTGCAGCCAAGAGAGGCCAGGCAAAGGGGGTTGGATTAAGCTCTTTTCTGACCCAGAGATGGGACAGCTGAGAGGTGTTTTAAAAGCTTTTATTCCATTTTCAGTCTCATGAGAAGGGTGAGACAATACAGATGTTATAATTCACACCATCACAATCAGAAGCTATTTCTTAATTACAATATACTGTGTTTCTTGGCTATCAGCTTTTTACTACACTGTGCTGTAAATGCCTTAAAGCAAATAATCTAAAGCTACCCCTCGTGGCTCCCACTACAATGCATCTTTCATAATTCTATTTCTCCAATGTATCCAGTCTTATTTGCAAGGCCATCCTTTGAAACTTGTTTCTAGTTCCATTTCTCTCTCCACAATATCTGTCCTGTTCCATGGCATTTCTAAGTCAGCATTTCTTATCTCAAAGTTTGCATACAGATATACAGTGTGAGCCTTCTGCCAGGCTGTGAGAATTCTTCACAAATTTATTCCCACAAAGGGATCTGTGCAATCTCCCAGCAGTCACCTGAGTTCAGACTTCCAACCCAAGGCACCTCTGCAGTTTTTCCCAGCCAGAAGGGCACAGAGCTGTGCAGCCAAGGTCCTACCTGTGGGTCGGAGAGCCGGGAGATGTCGGGGTAAAGGTAGAACTTGATGCCCTCGGAAGCGCCGGGCAACGTCACCCCCCGGATCAGGAGGATCATCAGCATGATGTAGGGGAACGTGGCTGTTACATACACAACCTGGGGGAGGAAACAAACAGCAGAAAAGCATTCTGTGAATTCTGTGTATTCTGTGAATTCTGTGAATTCTGTGAATTCTGTCAGTTTACTTCCAGCAGCAGCAAAACCACCTTCTTTTCACATCTGCTGGAGGAAAAGTGCCTTGGCTGCCTTTGTGCAGGTGGTTTTTGTCCTCCAACCATATTCCCTTCTAAACTCCTCAGGGCCAGGGGGAGAAGTCAGCAATTTTTATAGAGACTGGGGAGTCCTCTGTAAGTGTATTATTCCCAAACATATGCTAACAAGTAATTAATTACATATGTTATAACAATACAAGCAATGGATTCTCAGCCACCCCAGAATTGCTAAAGTGATTTCCCTTCAGACTGCTCTGCCTGCATGTCTGGGTTTCAGGAATAAGCATTTCATCAAGCCCAAAGGTTAAATTCTATCCATATCTCCTTGGGATTTGATAGAGAGCCCTTATCTTACAAACAGCCTTCAGGCAAAATGTCTGAGGTGCTGAACCTCAGCAATTGCTGTTTTCATAGACATGGGTACGGCTTTTTGGGTTTATTTCTTTCACAGAAATCAGGGTTGTTTTTTTTTCTCTGCATGGGCAGCAACAGGAAAGCTGCAAGAAGTCACATTTTCCAAAGGAAAAATGTAGCAGAATTGGTCCTGTTTCACAATCTCAAAACTGAGAGCAGCACATGGCTTCTCAAACTCAATATAAATTCCATGCCATTGTCAATGTTTTCTTTATGTGACAACCACCTCTCTATAAATTTAACTCTCTATAGTTTCCTGTGGCCATTTCTACCTGTCTTACTCATACACCTGCCTTGCACCAGTCAAAATTAGTTAAGCTGCTCAATGGAAAAAAATTTATTTGGTGAAAAATGCAACCTCAAAAAAATATGTGTTTTAAACAGAGTCCAGTATCTGTCTCCTATGTAAATGAAAGGGAAACATCAAAGAATGACCTGTGAAAGGACTCTCAGACACATTTTTGTAATTAATGAACTGAAATTGGATTTTCAGACTCTTTCACCCCAAACATTAAATGATCTCATGTGCCTCATTCCTCAGAAATGGAGGAACTTGACTTTCCCAGGAAATGGAGAGCACCTTTTTATTCCTATAGGTCCCAAAAGCTTGAATTGATGAATTCCTAGGTCAGTTCAATGCAAAATGGGAGGTTTTATCCCAGTGCTTACATTTGTTGGCTATTAGTGGAAATGCAAACTGCTATGACTGGCTGAGTTTGAACAGACCTTGTCTCTCCACATTTGGGTTTCAAATAAAAAAGGACCAGCAGCTAATGAGAATTAAAAAATAAACACATGGGATGGACACGGTCCTGCTCTGAGCTTTAAATTAGGTGGAAAGGATGGAGTGGCCAGCTAATGGTTTTCATTTATTTAGTTCTTTGCCAGCTATTTTTTCCTCCTCGTTTTAAATCAAAAGTTGCATTTAACAGAGGGCAGTCAGCAGACACATCCGTGTGATGGCACTGAAGGCCTTGCACCTGTAATAGTTGTAATATCAATAATATTTCCTTGTGTTTCCTTCCAATCTTTTTTTCCTTGCAATCTGCAATATTTCCTTGCATTTCCTTCCTTCTGTGCACTGCTGTGCAGCACATCCACTGCTTCCTGCACATCCCATGTGCAATCCCCCAGCAGCCAGGGCTGCAGCCACAACCTCTAACCAATTTTTGGGCCATCAGGACAGCTCTGCCTCAGCTCTAGAGGAATTAGGGCTCTCCCTGCTCTCTGGTTGCCATGCAAAAAGGGGACAAAAGTAAAGCACCACTGGCTCAGTATTTCTGGCAATAAATGCCAATACAGGCATCCAGAAGCACAATGGAAGGGACACCAAGGAAGCAGGAGTGGGAAAGGTGGAAAGATCCCCTCTTCCCGAGCCCACTGACACTGCTGGTAATCGATCACACAACCCCTGAGGGTGAAAAGCTCCAGCTTCTCTTTGACTTCAGCACGTGAGTGCACTGTGCTGGCAGAGAGCCACTAATTTTCTTTTTTTTCCCCCTCCCCAGGAGCTCCTGGGGTGAGGCAGGATGGGGAATTTAGGAATCAGTGCCACTATTAGCATCATCATCACATCTATCAAAATTAGTTCAGCTGCTGAATGGAAAAAAGTCATTTGGTGAAAAATACAACCTCAAAAAAATGTATTTTAAACTGAGGAGTCCACTATCTGTCTCCTATGCAAATGAAAGGGATACATCAAAGAATGACCTGTGGAAGGATTCTCAGACATAGTTTTGTAATTAATGAACTGAAATTGGATTTTCAGACTATTTAACCCCAAACATGAAATGATCTCATATGCCTCATCAGGTACCCTCAGAAATGGAGGAACTCCTTACTTAGCAGGTGAGTGCACTGTGCTGGGATAGAGCCATTAATTCCCATTTTCTCCCCCTTCCCAGGAGCTCCTGAGGTGAGGCAGGATGGGGAATTTAGGAATCAGTGCCACTATTAGCATCATCATCACATCTGTGGGGCATTAAAAGTTTCCTGAATTGTTTTCTTTTCTTTCAACACATCGAACCTCTCTGAATATCAATGTGAACACAACTGTTTCTAATTACACCACATCCTGTTTTAATTGACTTTAATTGCTTGGTATGTTAATTTGCATCCCAATGCTCAAAATGCTTTTTTTAAACCCTTGTCAGAGCCATGCCAATGTTTAAGCAGTTGGAAAAAAAATAAAAATTTCTGGCAGGCGAGTTTTTGCACCAAGTTCTCCTCTCACAATGTGCTTGAAAGAAAAATTTACAATGATATTTAGACATACAAGTAGGTGGAAATGCACTCAACAATTCTGAACTATCCTTGGGTGCTTAACTGAAGGTACACTGGAACCAAAGATCCTTAAAATAGATATTTTATTGATTGCCATGAGCTTTAAGTATCAAAGAATATGAAATAAGTTGAGTAGCAAGTAGTGGAAATTTAAATACCAGAATCTTAAAAAGGTTTAGATGCCACTCAAGGTTAATATGTAGATACCTGGGTACCTATGAAATGATTGCATGAGTGAGGCACCATAAAGATTTTGAGAACTGAGCTAGATTTCAGTTTTGTCTTTTCATACCTAAATATCTCAACAGCACAGATATGTGCCTGTGTTCCAGTTTGTCCCCTGGGAGTGCTGAACTTCTTGTCCTAAACGGAAAGGTGTTTTTGTGAACCCTCCAGGCAGATCATGCTGCAGGGTGAGGGGATCTGGCTTTTGAGGGTAAGTAGGAGAAATTTGGGATAACCTGAGTAAGGAGGAAGGTTTCCATGCAGTGAACTGAGCCCCAAGCCATGGAGATCTCCAAGCCCCAGATCAGATTTCTTTGGCCAGAGCTCCCACAGAGCACACCAGCCTGAGCTGCACACACTTCCTCACAGCAGCATGAAGCTGTGAACCTTCCTCCTTTGCTTGGCTCTTGCTAAGGACACACAGCCAGGATTCCTGATATAAATATCACTTGGAGGCCAGGAAGGTGATGGAATTCTCCCCTGCAAGCTGCAATCTTCAAGCTTGTTTGCACTATAAGGAACTGTAAGTGCTTTATAAATGGGATTAAATTTATCTGGGTGCTTCAGGAGATTCCTGGCTTGCTAAGTCCTGTCCCCTAAAATCCTCTATTGCTCCACTGGGCTGTAAACATCAGGAATATCAAAGCAGGAATTGCCAGAGATTGCCAGAACTCACTATTTAAATGTTTATGGAAAATCAGACCTGCCCCCTGGCCCTGCTCATCCTTATTTTTCACAGAGTGTTTTAATGCTGGTGTAATTTAACTTTATTTATTTATTTGAAACCATGAGCATGGAGAACCGGAGAGAAACACAACTGTGCCCACACTGCACTACACTCCTGTATGGAGAAACTGCTCAAGAACCAAAATTTCACCCAGTGATGCGAGAAGGAAAAGAGTAATTTTTATCCAGAGGAAAAAATTGGTACAAATATAGAAATATAATTATCATACCCCTGCCTGACAGCTCTGCTCTCTTTGTACCCACACCCAGGAATCACCAATTTGAGCAGGGTTTCCATCAAAAGTTTTCAAATTGTCCCACAAGCCACAGTCAAACCAGACTTGGCTTCACAGATATTTGCCAGTTTCACAACTTCTGACTTCCTAGATGGTACCAGCAGATGATAAACAAGATAAATAATTTTCTTTTTCAGCTGCCATGGGATACTGTGAAATATTCCATGCAGCACTGTTGGGAAAAAAGGCTTTTGTTCATCTGACTCTACACCATCTACAGAGCTGCAGGTGACAACTGAAAAGGGAGATTTTCCACATTAACTGGATTTACAAGTAAAATGGTATAAATGTATAAAGGAGTGACAGCTGATTCACAAGGTTTTAAAAGCATGTCAAAAGGGAGAAAACATTCGAGGTCCACCTACATTTTAAAGGTAAAATTTCATATGGAGAGAAAGAAACACAACCAAAATCCCAAGAGAACAGCAGGTAAGTGGATTTGTTTAAGTGGAATGAGGGGAGGGGTTAGAATCTGCACAATGGATGATTTTTCTGTTTTCTCTGTGTGTTTCATGGATTTATTCAGCATCATCTTCTGTTTGTCATCTTTGTTTATCCACAGAGGAAATCTTGCACCAGATTAATTCTGGAAAACCAACCTTAACCAGATTGCCTATGAACTGCAGGATTCCTTCTAAATTACCACTGAATCATGTGTGAGTGAAGGAATAAATTCAAACCCCAACAGCTAACAAAATTTAGTGAGATTTGGAGACTGAGAAATAAGTATCCAAAAGGAATGAAAATTCAATGAGATGAGCCAGAAAAGAGGGGCCAGGAGAGGACACTGGCTGAAGGGATGGGAGAGGCTGTGATCACAGGAAGCAAAAGGTTCCACATGAAATAAGAACTGCAGAAAGGAATAATTCCAGCACCACCTCACACTGAGGTCATTGCCTGGGACACAGAAAAATCCCTACCTGGCAGAGCTGTGCAAGTCCCAGGTTTTTTTCCACACAGTGGTGAAGGCAATAAATAAATTAATGAAAGTCTGAGCCCCACTGGAATGGTTTCCTTCACAAGTCAATGAAAACTTCACTCCAAAATTCATTGAGTCAATAAAAAAACCAACCCCAAAACCAAACCAAAATGTTCTGTTTAATTTTGGTTTGTAATTCTTTTAACTGAATGGGCAGAAGGGAGTTCTCTCTTCAATGAAAAATGCTTTAACAAGCCCAAGTTTTTATTTAAAAGCCTTAATCCCAAGTTAAAAATGGGTGTAAAAACCTATTTTCCATATATTTTGCAGCATGAATTTTTCTTTACATTGAGTCTGACTTTATACACCTTTCAGCACTTCCCAAATTCCATTTCAAATATTCTGTGTTCACCAAACTGCCTGCCTGTGGTCCAAAGCTCCAAAAGAAAGAGAAGCCATGGTGGAAGGCTGAATCCAAAGTGCTCTATTAGAATCCCAGGCATGCAGCTAAAATTGGAAAACAATGAGACAGCACCAAGGGCAGACAATATCCATGCACAGCAGCAGCTCATTTTCCCAGCTGAATGGAGTGAACAATTCACTCCCATGATGAGCTCCCTTCTCCCCATTAATATTCCTCAAGCAGCAGCAAGTTTTCTAAATATGTGTCATTTCCCAGCTCCTTCCAACAGCTGGGTTTGCTTCCAGCTTGCCCAGGAGAATTAAAATCAAGATCTGTCTTCTTTCTGGTAAAATTGCTCTTCAGGCTTGGTAGTTCTTTTGATGAGGTCTACAGACCTCCTACTTAATAAGAAAAAATATCAGTGTACTGTCTAGAGCTAATGTAAAGATAGAGTTCCTTGTATTTGGGTAAAAATTCTCTTATTACCAGATCCTGCCCCAAAATATTCATTTGTAAGACTACCAAGAACAGAATTTGCAGACATATCCAAAAATCCCAGTCATGGATACCAGGACACAAAAAAGTACCCATAGAAAATGTAGAAACAGTGAATTTTATCCCATTATTGGAATAATTTATGTGAGTGCCTTCATTTAAATACCATAATAAATTGAATTTTAAATAAATAAATAGTAATGGCAAATAAGTTTATTCATAATAAATTATTAAGAATAAATAAATAAAGGCAAATTAAGAAAACCAGATTAATTCTTGATATATGCACAGCTTAATAATGACCCAATCAGTGACAAATGATGCGCCAACAGCTTCAAAAAAAGGGGAAATGATCATAAATAATGGGCTGGATCCTAAAAAAATGACTTTAAGTCACAGTTCCTTTTATTTCAAGGATTAATTCCAGCCAGAATAGGCCTTGGTCAAGTTCTTAGTACCAAATTCCCAGTAAAATTTACACATTGTACAAATCAGTTCAGATTGTGGCGACTGCTCTAAAGTGTTTTTAAATGTTCACAAGTGAATCCACACTAAAAAGGACCAACCTGAACTAAAAACTGAGCAACTGTTGAAAATGTTTCATTCACGTTATTACATTTTTGCTGTCATTAAATGCCAGAAAGAAAAGCATTTATCTATTACATAGATCAATAGCTATAGTAAATACAACCCAGGAGCTCAGTGCCTCCTCCCAATGCTTCCTCAGCCTCCACATTTATATTTTCCACACTCAACATTAATCCTCCCCTCCCCAATGTTCTCAGAGGAGTCAGGGTGGTGAAAAAGTGAAGGCTGCAACAACCCTCAACACCAACAGTCCCAAAAATGTGCTCTCCATTTGTTGGGAAGTGTGTTCCTCACGGTGTGAACGTGCTGTTACCACACTGCTCTCACAAAAATCCCAACAGTTGTAAACACTGCGTGCCCAAAATAGCTCTGGGAAGCAGGGGAAGGGCCGGGCTGGAATTCTCAAGGCAGAAAACCTTGAGCAAAACCAGCACCACCATTTGGCAAGCAGACACAGCTCTCCCAGTGGAAATACAAAAGCAGAATCCCAATGCTAAAATCATGGTGTTATTGTCCCTGGAATATCTTTCTCTAAAAGCAGTGGATGTTTTGGGTTTTGTGGGTTTTTTACCAAGAAAAGACAATTGAATGAAGTTTATTATTTTATCTCCACCATTATTGGTGCTGATAACCCAGTGAAATAACAGCATCTTATAACTATAATTTGATTTTTTTTTTTAACATGCAGGGGCACAAAGAGGAAGAGCTGCCCTCTGGTTGTGAGGAAGGTCTGTGGTGGAATTCTCAAGCAAAACCAGCACTACAAATTGGCAAGGAGACACAACTCTCAGTGGAAATACAAAAGCAGAATCCTGATGCTAAAATTCTGGTGTTATTTTCCCTGGCACCTGAAATGTCTTTGTTGGAGGTTATTTCTTTAAAAGCAGTGCATGTTTTGGGGTTGGAGGGGTTTTTACCCAGAAAAAAAATCTTGATTGAACTTTATTATTTTATCTCCACCATTAATGGTACTGATAAACCAGTGAAATATCAGCATCCTATAACTGTAGTTTGATTTTTTTATTTAACATTCTGGGGCACAAAGAGAAAGAGCTTCCCTCTGGTTGTGGAGAAGGTCTGTGCTGGAATTTCTCAAAGGCAGAAAGTTGCAGAAAACCTTGAGCAAAATGAGCACCACAATTTGGCAAGCAGCCACAGCTCTCCCAGTGGAAATACAAAAGCAGAATCCCAATGCTAAAATCATGGTGTTATTGTCCCTGGCACCTGGAATATCTTTGCTGGAGGCTTTTCTTTAAAAGCAGCAGATGTTTTGGCTTTTGTGGGGTTTTTACCCAGAAAAAAATGTTTGATTGAAATTTATTATTTTAGCTCTTGACTGAAGTTTATTATTTTATCTCCACCACCAATGGTGCTGATAAACCAGTGAAATAACAGCATCCTGTAACTATGACATGATTTTTTTGGTGTAACATTCAAGGGTACAAAGAGGAAGAGCTGCCCGCTGGTTGTGGGCAGGGAGAGGAAGAGTGATGGGGAGGAAGCAAATTTCAGCATCTTGGCTGAGCTCATCACTGCAAGCAGAGTGTTTATGTAGAGCTCCCATCAAGGAGGGAATTTGCAGAGCCACAAATATCTCAGAATTAAAGACTTCTATTTAATCAAGTAAAAGTCAACTTTAAAAATCAATCAGGAAGAATTTTAAATATAAATTAGGACTAATTAATCAACTGAGGGTTGGGGTTTTTTTCCATTTTGTAAAGGTGTTTAAAATCTACAAGCTTTTATAAAACAAAGCTGTTCCTTACCAGAACTTTCTAGGATTTTCAGAGCTCTCAATGCCACCTAGTTTACCTTCACAGACAAACCTGAGACTATGAGTTACTCATACACCCAGAGGTTTGCATTTTACTTTATAAAATATGTGATGACTATTCCTCATAGTACCCCCAATTCTGTGAAAATAATTCAGAATTATCCCACAGCAGCACCTGAATTTCCAGTTGTGTAATTGATCTCAAACTGGCAGAAAAAGGGGTTCAACAAGGCATTACAAGAATTGGAATTTTTACTTATTCTAGACAGACCTTCCATTTCTCACTCCTCACCCATCCTAAAAATGTTTAACCTTCAAGCAGACAGAGATGCAAAGGTCAGGGCTGGGCAGGAGGTGATTTTTCCTGTCACTCCAAAATGCGTAAGATCTTAAATGTGTGTTGGAATAGACTCAAAATTTTTGGCCAACTCCTTCTCCTGGTTCAGGGTTTGTTCACCCTCTGACTTTTCCTGCAGAATATGAAACTGGGTTACCTGGAGGAGTATTGTCCTCATGGAATTATTATGGATTATATATATATATATATATATATATATATAAAATATATTATATATTTTTATATTATATCATGGATTCTCTTTTAGTGTCAGTGAATCAATGTTTTCTAGTAAAATCAGGATTTACCAGAGCATTCCTTATCATCTCCACCTTAGATTCCTGCTTGATTTTCCTCACTTGTCATTAAAAAAACCCCTCAAACAAACAAAAACAACAACACCAAAACACACTCCTAAATGAACAACAGCACTGAGGTTAAAAAAAAAAGCTGGATGAAGTTTGAGAAATGCAATGACTAAAGGATTATAGGGGAGGTTTTCCAGCCAGAAAAAGGTAAAAAAGCTGCCCTCAAAATGTAAAAAGTGCCAGCTGGAAAAGATGAATGTGTCAGCCAGACTCTGCTGTCACCCAATCAATTCATAACATTTCAAATAATTGCAAATATTAAAAATGCAGAACATTAATTCAGTGGTAGTAAGAATTTTCCCTAGAATTTTGCACCAAAACTAATCGTATGTGAGACTTTTTTGCAAATTATCCTCTCAATCCTCCAAGCACTGCAGCAGGTTTGGTGGTGGCCATCTCTAAATCTAGCAGTCACTGCTGCAGTTTTCTGGGCACCACAGCACTATTTAATCTTGTGCAGTAAATGCTGGGGAAAAAGAAAAGATTTGTAAACTGGCAGGCAAAGATATTCTATAGCACAGGCACACCTTTTTGTCTTTTGATGGATTTTGCAATCATGAAGCTGAAGGAAGAGGGTCAGACTCCCCAGGAGGGGCAGTGGAGAGGCAGCTGTGATTTGTGCTCTGGGATGGGGTCAGGAGCCAGGGAAAGGCTGGAGCTGGGCTAGAGAGGGTCAGGGTGGAGATCAGGGAAAGGTTCTGCCCCAGAGGGTGCTGGCACTGCCCAGGTAATGGGCACATCCCGAGGTTGCCAGAGCTCCAGGAGAGTTTGGACACCACTTCTAGAGATGCCCAGGGTGGGATTGCTGGGGTGTCTGTAGGGCCAAGAGCGGGACTGGATGATCCCTGTGGGTCTCTCATAACTCAGGATATTCCCTGAATCCATGAACTGTCCTGTCCTTTCCAACCAAAGCATAAAACCCATATCTGGCAGACCTTCATCTTTCCCTAGATGACACATCTGTTAAACAGACAGGCCCTGCCTTGGAATGGTTTATTTCTTTGTAATGATTATAGGGCCATAGAAATTTAGTATAATTCAGGTTGTGAATTATAGGTAGGGCATGTGAATGGCTTAGAGAGCATTTCACAGCACAAATCAGGAGGAAAAGATCAGGTGGCTCAAGGACTGGCTGAATTTTGAGTATCTAAAAATAAGAAAACTCCATAACCTCTCTGGGAAACCTGTCCAGCATCTGAGCATCCCAAGAGTGAAAAAGTGATTCTGTGATTCTATTGGGAGACCAGGACTTTTTTAGGAGAATAAAGAGCTCCCATTTCTTTGGCAAAAGGTGTGTTTGTGTGCCCCCAGCATGACAGCCCATTCCTGTCAGCTACTGAGCAACACGAGCTCTTATCTCCATGGTGACAGCTGAGAGATGGATGCACCATGGAGCATTTGCAACACTACTTGTGCATTAAGTATAATAACAAAAGTACAATAAATAGTCTCACCACTCAGACTAACAAGCATCCTTATCATCCTGACCCTGATTCTCCACATTTCCCTTCCCTGTGGCTACTCCACCCCCCTAATGCAGTTAGTCACACCTTGACTGAGGTTTATTGCTCTCTAACTTCCCCTCTGAGCAGCCTCTCAGTGTAGCTGCTAAATCACCTCAAGGCTGGCTTGTAGGACACCAATCTGACACTGCTGCAATTAATTTGTGGGTTTGGGAAGAAAAGGTGACGTGATGCATAGAAAAATGAGAGGGATCACACGATAAAACCCTTGGGCTGAAGACAGGGGGCTGAGGAGTACGTGACTGCCACAGACTGATTTTCTCTCTCAGGGAAATGCTTTGATCTCTCAGCTCTCCCTCCAAGCCCTCAGCTCAGCAGAGATCCCGAGGGGCTGCCTGGGGATGTAAAGGGGCTCTCTCCCTGGGGAGCACAGACCTCTCCCTGTGCTCATCCCACACTGAGATTCCACCCTTAGCAAGGCACTTCAGGGACAAGGGACACACAAACCCAAGGCACAAAAATCCTCACTGACCTCGAGCACTGCAGTTTTTCCAAACACATTTCACACCCACAGGAAAGAACCCAGAATTTTTTTACTGCCCTTAATTAAGAGCAATGCCTTACACTTTCTACAACACCGCTAATTGTCCAAAGTGTCTACTTTCCACGACACAATCCATCTTACACAGGATGTTTTGAGTTTCTTCCTTTCTTTTTTGGAGCACACAGGTTTTTTCCAGCAGCAGGAGTGAATAGCAGGTGCACAGCAGCCAGCTCCCTCCTGGAGATGTGTTTTAGTTACCAGCCCAGCACCAGCAGCTGCTTGAAGCTGCCTTTGTTGCTCATGAGGCAATTTATTTCATTTCATTAAGCTTTGCCATTCGTGGGAGTGAGTTTGGATGCGAGCCACAGGAGCTGACACTGGGGTGGGATACAGGGCTCGAGTTTGTAAATCTCACAAGAACAGCCTTGTAAACAAAACTTGTACTACAAAGACATCTTCACACTGGAGATAAAGGCAGAAATGTGGACTTTGCTGGCTGCAGAGAGCAGAGCCTGCCTTCCCACTGGCAGGAATTTGGTTTAATATAGCCTTGGCATAGAGGGTATGGGAATGGATACCTAAAATTGCAGTTAGGGAGCCAGTCTTAAAGCTGGACAGATTAGCAGGAGCTGAAGACAAACGACCTGTGTGAGAATAGGGAGTTGTGGCTATTCTGTTTCATGGGAAGAAATATGAAATTGGAGCAGCATTAGGAAAGTCAGAGCTATAAATGTTTGTGTAACCCATCTTAGGGACCCTGTGTGCTCCTGCAGAAGAAAAGGTACAAATACTATTCCAAATACACAAAGCAAGACTGAAGAAAAGCAATATTTATTGCAATTTCTGTGCAGAAATTCTGTGCACACATAGAGACCAGGACATGGCAACCACAGAGTTTTGGGAAAGGCAGCTTTGGAAACCCCCCAGTTGTAAATCCCAGCCTGCAGCAGTGCCCTGCACCTGAAGGAATAATATTTTAACCCTGACACGTGCATCAACAATGATAATAACCTAGAAATATTCTATTTTGGCTCCTGTTGGATGCTCTGCTGCAGGGAATTGTTTGGTTTTTTATTGTTCAATCAATTGTTAATTGATTACAGGGAAGGGGGGGAAGAGGATGGGTCAGGAAGGGCAGGTTCTGAACCGTTTATTCATGGTTCACTCTGAATAAATGACTGCAACTGTCACATTCCTAAAGCCTCTTTGATGGGTCAGTGTAATTTTGATAATGAGCTAAAAGTTCCTGGTAGCCTCAATGGCAAAAGGAACCTGAATTTGTCATCTTGAGCCAATCAGTGCATTTTCCCCACAGGGATTGCTGTGCTCATCTGTGCCATGGGG